AAATATGGTCCTTTGTACAACACCTCAGCAGTTCTGCTTGCTTGTTAAAAGACTGAATTTTTGTTTCGAATCGAAAAAAATTTCCAGGACCATCTTTTGCAAACAAAAGCGATAGCAATACAAAATATATATAAAAAAAGCAGAATTTGAAGTTCCAAATTTTAAATTCACATTCGTTCCATTGCAATGCATAAAAATAAGAGGCAATGTATGAGACGTGTGGCGAGGCTTAGTTGAAAAAGGAAAATGACTTGGGTGGGAAAGTTAATTTGACTCGACTAATGGAAATTCCACTTTCTATTGTGACATTATTCCATACTAGATCAACTGACTATTCCTAGACAAAAAGGCATGGATGAAGAAATACATGCGAATTGCAATACTTCTGCAAATAATTTTATAGACAAAGTTGGACATGATTGCTGTGTTAAAGAAATCTATAAAAATGTTTATGCTCTTGCATTTCATGATCTTTTATGATATTTTACTATTTTGTGCTTAATGTCGAAAGAAAATTACCTTGAAACAGCAATTTCCATTGAAAGTATCAGATTTTACAGCTTCATGCTCTCATGCTGCCCTGGTAATTTTTCTAGTTCCTCATTTTTACAATTGAGGAGCATGGTCTCCATATTTAAGGCCTACTCGTTCTGAGTATATAGTCGTATTCGCCGTTGTGTTCTGCAAATTGAAAATCTCTCTTCCTTTCTCTCACGAGTCACAGGCTGTGGTAATAGCTAATTGATGATTGGAATAATGCTGTAATTCATATTAATTGGAAGTGGAAGGAATGAAACTTGATGGAGAAGTAAAAAATTATTTTTTTTTCATGAATGAATTTTTTTTGGATCAAATTGTAGCTGCTGGAATTGTTATGTTTATGAGGAAATGAAGATGTTACCAAAAAGGAGGGAAAAATTCTTGGAAGACAGCTGAAAAATGTTTTGTGTCGATTCAGCAAAAATGTTTTTGTTAAGATTAACAAAAGAGTATATTCATATTTTAATGTGAATATTTTTGTATTGTTTTTGTGATATGCTGCTCATTTGTCACAATGTTTGGTGCTTTTTAAAGAATGTTGTCGAAATTTTATGTAACAGGAGCGTAGCTAGAAGGTGTTTAGAAGGTGGAGGGTTTAAATTTAATCCTTATACCATCTCAATGAACCTGTTTAAACTAATTTTAAGAATTCTCTTGTAGATTTTTGCTTTCAGTTGATTTCTAGTCATTTAGGACTGTAATTAGGTCAGCTTTTGGCTATTAGATGGGCTTTGATAGGTTTTCTTAATGACTTACCATTTATTAAACCAATTGTTTATTGAAACATACTCTTGAGCCAGTGTAAGTTTATTCTTGCACCATGTAGCTATTATATAAACTTGAATGAAACACAGGCTGATTATTATCTTTTATTAAAATCCGTTAAAACTTGAGTAAAAATAATTGAATGGAGTCTGATACTCTTTTTTGCAATAATTGAGTGTCCTACTTCCATACAAAGTTCCCTTACTTCGCAGCAGCAGAAGATCTTTAAATGCTAATTAACACTTAAAGCGTTGAAACTAGATCAGTGGCCTAAGTGGTAGAGCGTAAGGCTACTAAAGGTTGTGGGTTCAACGTGCAGAACTTGCAAGTTGTTCTGTTTCCACTGTAAACTGTAGGTCGAAAGGGTTTGGTACATAAGATTCTGTTCCAATTTGAATCGCAGTTCCTCCAGCTCAAAAGGCTGGGTCCTCTCCATGCTTTGCTAATTAAAACTTTGCAAGCTATGTTTGTGTTGATAGAGACAGTGTTGCATTTGGAATCGGCAATTGGCAGACGGGAGCCAGCGATAGAGCTAGTTTTAGGGGACGATTAAGGGAGGTCATATATCACAACTGATCTATACGACCAGCGAAATAAGTAGGTAAGTAAGTAAGCTATGTTTGATCCATCAATTGTGATTCATGAGTAGAAAGACTTTCAGTTGAGTTTCTGTCAACAATCTTCTTCAAAAATTCTTTGATTGCATTCATGAAATCTTGCTTTCTTCAAATTCGAACTTAAAACTTTGTTGATTTCAGCACTCATCAATTTGCTCTGTCCAAGGCAGTGTCTTCATGTAAGTTGCAAAGCTAGATTTCCCAAATTCCCAATTTCACATCACATCACAAGTCTCTTTAACCAAAAAAAAAATCATAAAATTAAAAATTCATCATTTCCAACTTGATGCTTGAAAATATTCAAAAAATGTTCAACCCCTCGAAAATATTTCATTGAATCCCAATAAAACTGAATTGCAAATTCCCATGTTCCTCTCACAAACCATCAAAACATAAACAACGAAAAAATCCGACTATTCTGCAGAAATATAAAATAACATGAAACGGCGCGCACGTGAACAACAGCAATAATCATTCCGATACATATGCATTAAAATGGGCTCCACAAACAGCGAGCTCCAATCAACAGAACGAGAAAGCAAGCAAACAAGAAAAGAGAATGTGTTTATGTCGTCGTCGACATAATGTATGTTTTCTTGGTACATTAAAAAAAGAGTCATAAAAATAATAATAAGCTAAGTGAAAAATTATACACATTTATTTATTCAAAATAGGACTAAAATTGAATTCCATTTTATTTATTTTATTTTTTATTATTTATGTATGAAATATATTCTTAATAATAATAATAATAATCATTATAGACGGTGTGCTATGTATGGAATATGAACAGCAATATAAAACTGAAACAACTGAACTGTCGTTTTTCGAAGTTTATGTGTTTGCAGTGTGTTCCTTTCTAGTGGACTTTAATGATTATTTCAAGTTGTCTCGTTGTGCGAGGCAAGATGAGAGATTTTTGCTGTTTGGACAATTGAAACATCACTAAGTGCTGTGGATGATTTCATACGATTTATAGGCATTAGCTATTGTGGATTTAGTGACTTTTGCATTTTTTATTAACTCAGATTTTCACTTTTATTTTCATGCTGTCCTGCTTCACAGCTGAACAAAGTGTTCAAATTCTTCGGAAACGCTCGAGACACATGTCGAACTTGAACGAATGAAAATGGTCGAGTGAAGGTTTACCCACTAAATGGAATGAAATGGATTAAATTAAATATTCTAATCAATGGAACTTCCTTTAATTATTTTGAAATTATTTGACCTTAATTTTTACAATTATTAGAAAAATTAATTACCAAAAATCAGCAAAATCTACAAATTTCGCAATAATCCACACTTGAACCCAAAATACACGAATATAATTGCGGAACAACTTGCAGACATTATCAAGTTGAGTTTCTTTTCCCTTCTCTCTGTAAAAAATCATTGTATCAAAGTAAAAATGAGTACCAAGAGAACATACGGGATGTTCAATTACGCTTCAATTGCACTTCGGGGCAAGTACTTTGCTTCGTTTTCTTCTCACTTTTTTTTCTGTCTTATTTTGAAAATGAGAAAAAAAATATAAACTGTAAAGTAATTTTTTTCTGTTGCTGTACGCGATGGAAGATTGTAGAGACTATGAGAGAAGGTAAGAAACTACTTGTTGGCCTTTGATCTGTGAAATTATTATTGACATGCTGATTTTTTTTTTATTTATGATCTATTGAGGTGAGTTTATAGCGAAAAAAGTGATCAGCAAAAAATATTTCAATGCTCAGCATGAATAGAAATAATAATGTTGCTGATTTGGCAGTAAATAGGTGATTTTTTGTTGATGTAGTTTTGATTATGTTTGCGGATTTTATTATGTTTGAGTTCGAGAAATTTCATTGATGGTAGAAAATATGAAAGCACAGTGGAATTAAAAAAGGAATTGGGGAATTTATTACCCGTGTTTCTATTTGTATAGCTTTATAAAATAATCAGAATATAAAGTTGGAAGTTTTAGTTGATTCTAAGTCAGATTAAAGACTAATTGGGTTTTTAGAGTCGATAGTCCAGTGGTTCTCAAACTGTGTGCCATGAAAAAATTCTAGAAAATTTTTATTGCTAAAACTGAGCCTTTATTTTTATGTCTTGTGACTTTTAAAAGCCCAAGGTTCTCAAAATGTGTGCCATGAAAAAATTCTAGTAAATTTTTATTGCTAAAACTGAGCCTTTATTTTCATGTTTTGTGGCTTCAAAAAGCTCATAAAAATCATTTAGTGTGCCTCGAAACTATTCAGGTGTGCTTCGAAAAATTTTTATGAACAAAAAATGTGCCGTGCACCAAAAAAGTTTGAGAAACACTGCAATAGCTCTATTGACAGCAAATTTCCACAATTAAAAATATTTTTGATACACCCCTGAACCCTCTAAAGCAGTGTTTCTCAACCTTTGCTCTACAGAGCTTTACTGTTGCTCGAAAAAATTCTATCAGTGTCTATATTGGTAGTCAGAGTGGCATAAAAATATAAACTGATGATTTACTACTCTTTTACTCCTCCGCGGACCAAAAAAGTTAAGAAACACTGCTCTAGAGTGTGGTCCATCATTGTTTAACTCTTGGATGGGGCAATCTTAGATAAAACAAGAGAAATAGCAAAAAACATTCTATGAAGGCTAGGTGTTTTAAATTGATTTCTGGACCAATTGAGATTAGTCATAGATGTTGCAACATTGGCATCAGATCAATAAACTTGCATTTCTTAACAACCAAATCAGTTTATTCAAGGACAGCAAATACAAAATTGCAGACAACATAATTAAAATTAATAGATCTTGACCTACCACAAGTATCTGCTAATAGAACCAAGCCACACGACGCTACATGAAAGGTAATAATTAAATACAACTTAACAGGCGCGTAGCCAGAAAGGTATTGTCCCCCTCTTAAGCGTTTTAGGCCGTGCGTTCAAAACTTTTAAGGGGGGAGGGCAAGACCCTCCTGGCTACGCGTCTGCAACTTCATTCATCCTTTACTCGTGTTCATAATACTTTTTTCATTTAATGATTATTATGTACTTATTATTATAATATGGCGATAACATTCTCGCGATTAAAATTACAAGTTTGTTTTTTCATTTTTTTAATATCACAACTTAAAATCAAAATTCTAAACGTGTTGCAAAAGGGGAGAAAAAATAGACATGTAGAATATTTTTTGATATGTTTTGTTTTTTGTCACTTGAGTATTTTCTTCATCTATGCTAGTAGGTCGTTCATAAATGATGTCCAAAAATAATGGCTATTTTTCAAACAAACTGACAAAAATTTCTAATGTTCGAGACCCCTTTGCCCCTCCCTGTGACGTCATTTATGAACAAACCCTTAAATTTAAATACTATGTTAAAGTTCAAGTTTATTGCGTCCAAAAGTTTCGATGTTGCTTAAATAATGTTGATATAGCGACCCCCTTAAAAATACGAATTCCTGTCAGTTTGAGGCAAACAAGCATCCTTAAAGTTGGTCGCATTCATCATTGAGAAATAATCGTCATGTATAAATCTAATAATGTTCTCAATCGGACATAAATATGCCGATTGTGCACGTCCACGTTTCACACGTAGACTCTTTCCATCAATACAAAAGCTTATGAGTCGTGTCACATCCTTTCCATTGTAAACAGCACGATAATAGAATTGATTATCTTTATCGCTACGATAGACTTCAAATGCAAATCTTGTGGCGTATGGAATATATGACGATTGCTCAATTAAGCCTAACGCGGCCAATACAAATTGTAATGTCTGATCGTGGCATGAATATAGCACAAATTTTGTCTTATCACCACTTATCATCTTGAGCATGAATCCAACAATATTTCTTATTAATCCATACGCTCTTAATGCTCGTTCAATAATTTTATTTCGATTGTTGCTCTCCCTGACTTCATATGAGTTTGTGTACGCCAATAAAGCCTCAATCAGACCATCTTCAACACAATTTTCTGTCGGTTTATCATTTATTGCTTCCTCCATATCATCATCATCGCCATCATTTGTTGTCGAGTCTGGCAAGTGTTGACTATCGTCCAAATCAATTATGTCATTACTTTCAATTTCATGCTGTGGCTGTGTCGTTGATTGATGTGAATTACGTTGACATGGAAGCTCCTGATTGTGACAAACGTACATTAGGAGAGCATCGCGAACATCCAGTGGATTAAAGACGGGAGCATCTTGAATTTGAAGCAGTGATGATCCGATGAGATTGACTAAAGATGCAACAGCTGGAATATTTGTGTAGTCTCTGGAACTTTCTCTTGACATCATTTTCTTTAGATGCTCAGCATTTGCACATGCACAGTCATTAAAACAGAATGCTAAGCTGTGACTTTCTTGGATCTGTAAGTTATGCCATCGATCGTTCGGAAGGAGATTAAAGAGTAAAGCCATAGCTGATTGGAAAGTCCTTCTGTATCTTGTTGAATACACAACAATCTCATCAGCTCCTGTAAATTGTAGATGACTTTCAGTATTATTGTTGGTTCGAGGCGGTGGAATTGGCACAGGTTTTCTAAGTAAATCTAAAGCATTTGCGTAAGCATGTCTCATAAGTTCACCGATATGTAATAATTGTGATATGCCTTTATATGTTAACTGACCGAGTAAACATGCTCGTAAATCAGCTGGAAGTAATGGAAACCCATGAAATGGTCCTTGACGATTCCAACTCACATGTCCATTATTATTTCCATTATTTGGATTCATTAATGATGAATTTAGTAAGTAATTTCTATATTTGATTATGTTTTGATCATGTTCGTAGCTACAGTCAATTGAGTGGATGTCACGAACATGAACTAATGATGCACGGTCGCCGTGTCTTATCAGCAATATGACTCCTAAAATAATGTAATATTAAGTATTAAATAATTAAGTAAATATTGTCAGGAGGATTTGGGTGAGGTTGAATTTTGAATCTTTATGATTGACAGGTTGGATGATTGAGGGACTGTTTTTAGAAGAAGTGAGTAAAGCACTCAATCGGGTCGCTAACCGAGATCGTTGGTTTATCATTGCAATTTTTGATACATAACTTCTTGTAGTACAGAACCTCTGGATAATTTTTCATAAAAGATAGATTTTTTAAGATTGATGTAGCTTGTTCAAGCAGCTAAAGCTTTACATTTCGACTTAGTCTTCAAATGTACTCTGGGTCACATAACTTGTGCTTTTAACATTACTTCAAAAAATATCAAAATACTTTATAATTCACCCTCTTCAACGCAGCACCTCCATCCCCTCATTTACAACATTCATAATTTTTTTCCCTCATCCACCACACAAAGAAGAAGAAAAAATTTCACCTTGAAGTGTCCATCCTTCAATAAAGCCACCCTCATCTTCCGATGTCAAATTCAATGAATTTATATTGTTACAATAACGCTGACGATACTTTTCGATTTTTTCGCTGTCCTTCCGTTTGTTCTCGAACGAGATTTTATTACTATAAAATGATTTTGGCAAAAATGCACTATTTGTTGAGTCGGACGAGACATATTTGTACATTCCAAGGAAAATTAAGAGAATCCATAGCAGTAAATAGAAGTAAATTGTACGATGCTTTGATGATAATCGAAGGAATTCTCTTAAAATCATTTTAATTAGCTTAAAAATCACTTAATACTAATAAATTTGAAATCAACTATGCTACTGCATTTGCCTCACGAATTTTGTGTCTTGAAATAAAATTTACCAACGCGCAGGTTCATGTGTTACATGCTGGACGCATTCAACAATAATATTGAGAATTCAAAACAAAATAGAAGCATTGAGCATGGATTGTTTGATGTTTCGATCAATGTTTTATGCTGCTTGTAGCTTTTTTGTGCATTCAGCATGTGCTTTTGGTATGAGAGAGGATGTACCCCTCAAATAAAATAAAATCCCACAAAATCTGTCTTTTTTTGTTCCTTTATTCATCCAAAAAAAACATTCTATTTCACAGATTGTGATTGCCTTTGAATAACAACTCGTTCGTACTCAAGATATTTGGTCATAACCCATGGATCCTTCTTCAAGTCCACAATCGATACACGGTCTTTTGCTGGAACAAAAATCTTCCTACAACAAATTTTAAATTCTGTGGAGGTGACGACAGCAGTTGGGAATGATATTGGTGCTTGGACTTGCTGGAGTAAATGGAAATAAGTTGAGGATTAAAATGAAATTTAATCAAGTCTGTGACTTACTTTTATCAATTTTCCAAGATGTCGATCATCGAATGGAAGTCGACCATGAACCATTGTATAGAGCACACAACCCATAGCCCAAATATCACTAGCAAATGGATCATAAGGAACGCCTCTAAGTATTTCAGGACTAGCATAAGCATAAGATCCACAGTAAGTTTCTGAAAGGTTTGAATTTTCTTTTTTGGCTTTTGAAGGTGACTTTTGAGCGATCAGCGCTTCCAATTTCTCTTCGCCTGCTGTCTTTAGAACAGGATTCATTGACTTTGCGAATCCAAAATCAATCAACTTGACTGTGTAGTTTGAATCGAACAGGATATTCTCACATTTAATGTCTCGATGGACGACGCCTTGTGAGTGACAGTACTCAACAGCAGCTATGATTTGATTAAATATGCTGCATGCTCTACTTTCAGGAATTCTCTTTTGTTTGTGGATCAAGTCAAGTATCGATCCATGCTCAGCATTTTGCATTATTATGTACAGTCTGAAAGGAATTTGAATTATTTTACGGACCTTTAAGGTTTTTTGGAGTTCCTTACCGATGCGACGTCTCAATGCTCTGATAATATTTGATGATGTTATCATGCTTTAAGAATCTCACGACTTTGATTTCGTTGTAAAGGAATTTGCGAAGAAATTCTTCAGGAACTTGAAATTTGGATACAATTTTGATGGCGACCATCCCTTTGTGGTTTTTTGAGTATGCGAGCTTTAATGGAAGGATTGAATTTGTAACAATAAATCATTGAAAATTAAATAATTATCTTAACTCATACCTTAACTTTCGAGTAGCTTCCAGTTCCAATTTTCTTGATGATTGTAAAGCCATTCCCTTCAAATATTGACTTTGAATGTCCAGCATCATCTGCGTCGTGACTATCGGTTGATTTTGCTTGACTGACTTTACTTTCAATATCTTCTTTGGTACTTGCTTCTGATATTGGGTTTGCTGATTTAGCTGGAATGAAAATTGGAAGATAAAAAATGAATTTTTATTATAAATCATGCCTTTTTAATCTGTATCGCCTATCTAGCTAAGAGAATAAAGCAGATTAGGGATTTTATCTTAATGAATTAAAACTCACGCTTTTCTACTGCTGATGCCATTGTTATTAATTATTTTGGGTTCTTTCTAAGCTTGACGAATGTTTATCAATTGTTTTAACATAAAATTTGGTGTGGATCTTTGTTGCCGAAATAAAGGAATTTTATATTTTTTAATGATTTTCAAATTTATTACCGAAAAGAAATTGAATGAAAATAAAAAATTTCAAATGCTTCCATGATCAAATTTTGTTTGAGATTTTGATTCTTGATTTTTCTAAGCTACAATGTAAAGCAAGCTTATTGGAACCTATTTCATTATTTTCTTTATAGTTTTAAAATTGCTGTTTCTTTCTGTGATTCAAAATTTCTTCAATTCAACTTTGGGGCCGTTCACTTATTATGTTCGCATTTTACGGGGGAGGGGGGGTTTGAAAAATTGTAACAAAATGTAACATAGGGGGGGGGGGGGTTCGAGAAGTATGTAACGTTCTTCGTCTTTTAAAAAAAGTTCACGAAAACAATTTGTTGTTGGGGGGGGGGGGGGGGGGGGGGGGGTTGTAACATATTGTAACAAGGGGGGGGTGAAAAAGTCGTTATTTTGCGTAACGTAATAAGTGAACGGCCCCTTTTGGAATTCACACAAACTGAACAGCTTATTCAGACACAGCAAAACATGTTGCATGAGATGCAATCGAGTACCGTTCGATGATTTCTCATAATATTTTTCGAAATAGCCATCTTACAAATCCATAATTTGCTGCCAAATCATCTTAAAAATTGCAAAATTTACCCAATTAATATCTTAACCTCTTAATGCATACATAACATATCCAAAAAAATCCATAAAGCACTGAAAAAATTAAATTTGAATATTTTTTTAATGAAGAATTATCCTCAATCATGAAGAGCCGCAAAGAAGAAAAGAAATAAAGACCTACATAAAATTTTTATTGCCATTGCCATTGCATAATAAGCTTGTAACACACATTTTCTTCTTCTTGGTCTGCAAGTGAGTGAGATACACTCGAGAAAGTATTACAAACGTACATTGTAAATCCAGTAAATTATATCAAAAAAAAAACTTGCTCTTTCACTTGGGGCGTAGATGTACAGCTTAATAAGATAATAGCCGTACACATCATTTGTTGTTTATAGTAGCACGTAAGAAGTATGACGTTTATGACTTCTTTTCTTTTTGTTTTGTTTGTTGAGGTTCAAATGGCATCGTGTGTTTTTTGGTAATTGAGGTAGACATGAAAAGGGAATTTGGGTCAATATTTGTTCAATGATGACCTTAAATTGGGAGATTGACGAAATTCTGGGAAACTAGTAACATTTTTGTTAAGCTGCACATGCTAAAACTGGCATAAAATATAACCAGGAGCTAATTATTTAAAAGAATGAACATGCAGAATGCAGAAAAAGAGCAGGATTAGAAGTTTTTAGAACCTTGCTGACAAGGTGGGTGTCAGTTGGGGGGGGGGGGGGGGGGGGGGGCAAGGTGGGTGTCAGGTATATTTTATGAAGCCGTGTGAAGCCAATGATTTGAAGGGTGTTGACAAGGTGGGTGTCAGTTGTGGTGGGGACAAAGTGGGTGTCAGGTGAGGGGTGGGTGTCAGGTGGGGATTGGGGGCAAGAGGAGTGTCAGGTATATTTTGTAAAGCCAATGATTTGAGGAGTGCTGACAAGGTGGGTGTCAGTTGGGGGGGGTCCGAATTTGAGGGGGTTTGTGGGAAAAGTTTGGTGTCAGGAATATTTTATGAAGCCATATAAAATTTTGTGAAGCCATGTGAAGTTTTGTGAAGCCATGCGAAGCTTTGTGAAAAGACATGGTGGGTTTCGGGGGGATTAAAGTTTTAGTTGGATTAATGGGGTCCGAGTATGAGGGGGTTTGTGAAGCCATTTATAAATTTTTTGTGGGATTAAGGAAGTCCGAGTTTGAGGGAGTTTGTGAAGCCATTTATAAAGTTTTAGTGGGATTAAGGGGGATCGAGTTTAAGGGTGTTTGTGAAGCCATGTGAAGTTTTGTGAAGCCATGCGAAGCTTTTTGAAAAGACATGGTGGGTTTCGGGGGAATTAAAGTTTTAGTTGGATTAATGGGGTCCGAGTATGAGGGGGTTTGTGAAGCCATTTATAAATTTTTTGTGGGATTAAGGAAGTCCGAGTTTGAGGGAGTTTGTGAAGCCATTTATAAAGTTTTAGTGGGATTAAAGGGGGTTCGAGTTTAAGGGTGTTTGTGAAGTCATGTGAAGTTTTGTGGTAGGATTGCATAGTCATTTTTGTTGAAATCTCAACTGTTTAACTATACCTTGGCTGATCTCATAACAAACTATTCAAAAACATAATTTACATTCCATATCTTCTGTAAAAAATCATCATGAATATTTCCAGTCTAGCACCTGCTGCATAACATTTTTTAATTATTTTAAAAACACATTTTTACATTTTTACAAAGTTTTTTTTTCATTTATTTTCATAATTTTGTTTTACAGAATAGCGCATAAAATTAAAAATTAGTCAACAATTAAAAAAACAAATGAGAAGTACAAGAAATGAAGTAAGTTGAAAAGAGAAGTTAAAAAAAATTAAAAGTTATGAAACAATGCAACAAATTTCAACTTTCTTTCGTTCGTCATTCGTCAAATGAACGTCACTAACATAATAATGACTATGAGCATGCAAATAATTAGCTATTTTAAAACAATACTTTCGAGTAGGTCGTTGTCATTTTTCATTTTTTCTTTCACGTTGTCATGATGATGTCATGACGACAGTGTTACAAAATATTATCTTATTAAGATCAGTCATATAAATGGAACTGGAACTACTATGAATTTAATAAATAAGAGCTGAGGAAGTTTAATGATATGATTTGGATGAACGCATCTACCGTCTTGCATAAACAGCAACGTCTCTCAAAAGTTTTGTAGAGATTCTTCTTCATCCGTTCTGCTATACCCTAAAAAAATGCATCACGTTCACATGTTACGTAAGAACTAGTAGACTATATCTATTTGTGGATATATTTAAGAATCTAGAAACTAATAAGGGTATCCTCCATGTCCTTGTTCGTGACTCCCACCTGATGGTTGTCCTGCTGAATAGCTATCAACTCCTTGATATGAATCAGCTACACCATGACCTGATGATACTTGCCATCCACTATTTCCAGCTGATGACTCATATGATCCATGACTGACTTGTTGAGCATTTGCATCATATCCACCATGTCCTGATCCACCGAAATCATGTCCTGCTTGTGCGTAACTTGAAGCATCCCCAAAATCTTGTCCATGCCCTCCGAAATCGTGACCTGCTTGAGCACCAAAATCATGTCCTTGAGCTCCAAAATCTTGTCCATGCCCACCGAAATCATGTCCAGCTTGTGCACCAAAATCTTGTCCATGACCACCGAAATCAGCTCCAGCAAAAGATCCAGCATGAGCAGAGGCACCTGAAGCTCCAAAATCATGTGCTGAACTGTATGAGCCTGCATGTGCTGATGCTCCAGCTGAGCTATGTCCACCAAAATCGAATCCAGAACCACCATGTCCATGTGATGAACCACCAAAATCATGTCCTGATCCACCGAATGAAGCACCATGAGCAGAACCACCTCCAATTTGTTGAGCATTTGAGTCATAGCCACCTGCACTATGTCCGATTCCCTCCAAGCTTTGAAGTCCTGCATCATGATGATGTTCAGCTGATCCGTGACCACCTGCACTACCGCCTGCATGATGATAAACATGAGATTCTGTGCTTATTGTGTTTCCATGACCTGATGAACCTCCATATCCACCAGAAATTCCACCACCTGATGACCCTCCATGACTCGATGAACCTCCAAATCCACTTGAGATCCCGTGACTTGAAGCACCTCCAAAGCTAGAGCTTCCATGACTGTAACTGCCACCTCCAATATCTCCAAATCCAGATCCATGTCCATGTGATTCATGATGATAAACATGCGAATCTTCAATGTGTGGCTGAATCAAATGAATCTTAATGTGAACACTAAAGTTTGTAAATGAAATGGAAAGTTGAATTAAAATTCAATTGGATTAAACGTTTTCGGCTGTTATCTTACTGTTCCTTTCCAAATGTTGGTGCAGGCGCTGCATATCCAACTGCGATAAAGAGCGCTACAAGGATTAATGGACTCTGAAAAATGAGAAAGTAAAATGAGAATTAAATGTTAAAGAGAATGCAAAAGAAATATGACATAAGGAAGTGAGGTTTTGCGATTGCATAATATCTGTAATGTTGTGTATTGGAATCGATTGTTTGGTGATATGATGACCTGAAGGGGGAATTGAGTAGCTTTTTATTGGAAATTTTGATTCTTTCGAGATAATTTTTCAAAATTCATTGGAACTTAAGTTTCCTTAATAAGTTTCTGACAAAACTATCCTAACAATAATTCTCAAACCTATCCGATCAATGCCATAAGCACAATAACCACATTATAAGATATAAAAGCATAAAACGACAATTGAGAGTGAAAGGCATCAACCCATTCAATTGTTTCGCGTGCATTACAATCATCAATGTTGTTATAACCTCAAGTTATCGACTGTAATTTAGTGACCGAAGGCTCATTAACAACATATGCTCATCTTTCATGATTTGGACTATTAGATGCAACGCTTTAATGTGCGAATAGCAAGTAATCATGAAAATTGTGCGTAATGGATCAACATTCACTTTTAAAATGCCACGAGATCATGTAATTTTCCAATTTTATCATGACCTTGCTTGTATTACATTTTATAATAAGCTGGAATCATTTGTGATAATCTTGAATCGTATGAAGTGAGCTTATTGATAATTCATTGAATTATGCAATATCAATGGGAAAAGCTTTCTACCTTAACAGAAGCAATGTGAACCTCTCATGCTTTTTAATTTGAGAGCATTTAAATGATGTAATAAGGGCAATGAATCGGCAGCTTCTGTGAAGTTTGTTAAATTATGTTTGATGAGGAATGTGAGTAATAGGCAGTCATTATGGGTTAAATGTAAATTAGCGTTTAAGGCTTGGTAATTGAAAGTTTTTTTGTGGTTTTTCGGCAGTAATCGATCAAGTTTTATTGAATTGAAATGAATTTTGATGAGTTTTGTGGTAGTTTAGGAGATTTAATTTATGGTCATCAATATTCAGAGACTAGTCTTGAATGGAGTCTAGACAATGCTTGAAGTTGATTTGATTTGACTTTAAAAGTGATAATTTTAAGCTTTTAAGAAGTAGATTGTGAAGAAGAAGCCTTAAAAACCTTTAAAAAAATAAACCTTAGCTGTTCAGACCTTAGCCTTAAAAACCTCTAATTTCAATAAAAGGAAAACTCAACTTTCATTATTAATCTTTTGAAAAAATTTGGAGCTCAACAAATTTTTCTCACATCAAAAACTTAATTTAAAATCTAATTTCATGTTCAACATGATGAAATTTTTTTTAATTCCATCCAAGAAGATAAGCTGAAGCAGCTATGATGACTATTAAAATTACTTCCTCAATGATACATTTTGGCTTAATTAGCATCGTCTCATTAACTTGTACCAGTTCAGCAATGTGATTTTCATTTTTTGCATTCAAAAATTTTCTCTAAATGACGAAGTTAATTAAATTAAAATTTCTATGCTAGGAAAAGAAATGAATTTAGAGGCTAGGCTTGGAGATTTTTCAACAATGAAATGAAAATTGGAGCTGATTTTATGCGATGATAAACGCAGTGGGATCAGTTGCACAATTTTTTGATAGACATCAGTCTAATTTAATATTTTTTCCTCCAAAAACTTGATAAAAATTCTATTCAATTTTTTTAAATCATAATTAAAATTCATGTTGACATCCAACGAAATTAATCAAAGCATAAACATTTTAATACAAATATTTGTAACAAGAAAGTAAAAGTAATAATTGTAAGCATGTCGGAATCATTAAAATGTGATAATTATGTTTACACCCTTATTAAAAAATTTGTGTAGCAAAAGTGAATTTAACAACAAATAATTTGATTGCTTCCACAAGATCTGCAGAGTGTTTACAACATGATAGCTTTAATGGTGGTTTAATGAACTATTTGAGGGTTTCGTGTTACATTTGACGCAATGAAAGTGAAATAATGAGATGCTAAGTTTGGATTAGTTTATTTTACTAGAGTTTTAACCCGAATGGCACAAGTCGGTTAATTAATCAGAAATCAGGCACAAAACTGGTGTGATTCTGGCATGGTGCTGGATTTTAATCGAAGCCAGCACCATGCAAGAGTTGTCTTGCCAGGCACCAAATTTCTATTCGATTAATCAACTTTGTGCTATTCGGGTGACTGTCAATATAATTGATTGGAATTGAATTCTTAATTTTTTGTCAATTAAGTTTAGCGAAAGCTTTATCAATGCAAGTAATGAGCTGGTTTAAGGCTGAATTTCTATGACTTTGTTAATGAACTCTGTCATTATGATCGTGAAATTGTCATAAATTCTTGCTAAAGTTTAAAATTCAACTTTTCGTGACTTTTTGACAGTTTTCAATTTTTTTGAATTTTCAAAATATTTTTTAAATTAAGAAAGTTCAAAATTTGAGATTTTTCGTATGTTATATAAGTTTTGTGATTTCTTTAATTTTTTTAAAAAATTTACTCTTTTGATATTCCAAGATGAGAGCAGCCTGATACTTTATGAAATAGATTAAACCTCTTCAGAGCGTTGTCTATCTCAAAAATTTTATAATTTTAAAGATTTTTGAATTTTTAAAGAACAATCCTTAATATTGATGGAGGGTCCAGACCCCCTCCCTGACTAAACTAAAGCACTTTAGTCCTCAAGATATTTAATCCAATTTTTCGTCAACTTTGCAAGCATCTTGCCATTTTCATGTCCACAATATTAAAATTCACATCAACAAATCATATCAATATGACCAAAGGAAGTCATTTCAATTCCACAACAAAAAACTTTATAATTTCTGCATGTCTTCAATTTCCTTTTAAAATTTATTTCCTCATTATTCAGTCTCTCTATTGCACTTAAATTGCCTTCCTAAGTAGCCATCATTTAATCATATGCAGAAATTTCTTTTTGATGAAGCAATCAAGTTACTAGCTTTAATATCCACAATATATTTTATTCCATAATTAACTGTCAGTCTTTTTATTTAATTTTCACTTTAAATCCTCTTCAAAATTTTCACTTTTTTTTTAATTCCACACATTTTCAGATTTGATGGAATATCACGAGAATATAAATCTTCAACTTACGACTTTTGTCAACATCTCTTGATTTATTTTTGAGTCCTTGTTAAAAGTTTAAAGAAAAGTTTAAGCCGACTGTATTTGTCGAGGTACGGATTGGTAATGTCTTAAAATTCACGATTGCATTATTTATTTATACTTGACGCGCGGCGCTAAAGCCGCATTCAAATTGAGATAGTTTTTCCTTCTTCTTTTCCGCTCTTAACCGAAATGAAAAATTTTTGTATTGAATTGCCTTAAGTTTGTTGGGCTGTTTGGAGCTTGTTGCTTGTTTTTCTTTCTTTTTTCTCTCTCTCAGCAATACCGGGTCAAAATTTGTTGCTGTTGTTGCTAGAGTTGGAGTTGGTTTACATATAAAAATATGAATGTGTGCTTTAATATGGTTAGATGTGAGGGGCTAAAGCGCATTTTTTTAGAAGCTTTAATTGCTAATGTTTTTGAAGACAGCGTTGTCACTAGACTTGTGACCAGGAAGGTAAGGGGGTTCTAAGGAGGTTCAGATGCATCTCTCATCATACAGTCTCTAAAAATGGCTTGATTTTAAATCAATATAAATTCCGTGTAGGACAATAAGACATGAAAATAAAATTTATGTGAGACAAACTCTATCCAACCCCAGATAGCCTTAAAAACATTCCCTTGAAGCTAGTATCTAGTTATTCGGTCTACATGAGTGCATTATTCGTCTTTCGATTATTAAGTTTGCTTTTTAAAGGTTGAGGGGGGGGGGGGGGGGGATGTCAACAACCTCTATCATTCGTAACTGCTAAGTTGTATTCAAAAATTGCATATTACTGAGGTCACTTAAGATTAACTCAAGCCCAAAGTGAGGAAATTCAACAATAAATCTTTCAAATAATTCAGCGCGATTAAAAACGAGAGAAAGAAAAGAAGAAAAAAAAATCAGAAACACAATTTAAAAATTGCACGGAAAGTGAACAACAAAAGATGAAACTGGAAGTTAATGCCAACAACAAAAAAAAACACAAACATGAGAAGTGTGCGGTGGGAGAAGAAAAATATTTTGCACTTACCGAAAGTGTCATAAAAATTATTATTGTAGTTCTATCGCCATCAAGATATGTGTGTCTATAAAACATGAAAAAAAAAGTGGTGGAAATAAGCCTTTCACATCGATGAGACATATTTCATAATATTCAAGTTCATGTATGCGGAAAATGTGCATTAATGCATTTATGGCAGTAAACAATAATCTCAACTCAATCAAGCACTTAATCTTGTCTTGTAATTGAATTAAACAATCGCAATACAATAAAAAAGTAATGCGAGAAATGAATGATAATGAAGTCGAATGGCGGTACACAAAAAATAATAAGTTTATATTCATGAGTATTTGAGTATGCAAAATTAAAATGAACACAATAAAAATTGTGGATTTCTTTCATGAAGTTATTAGATTACGGCAACAATATAAATAAATAGAAATAAATAAAAATATGGAGAGTGCGTGACAAAGGAAGGCTTTTGTGGCGATTTTAGACAGATTTTATTTTATTATCCTAGATTTAAGATTGATTGTGTCAGAGAGCTCTAAAACCAACTCCACTTAGTTACCTTAATCAACTTAACCCCTCAAATTCATCAATTCTGACAAAATAGCCCTAATGGTTATCAAAAAATACAAAATCGCGAAATACAAAATGTGTCTTGATTATAACTTTGCTTAATAATTGAGGTAGACTTGAGGGCTACTTTTAAGTACAACAACAAAATAACCAGTTGATTATCTAACATCAAATCATATGCATAGACCAAAAAAATCATTCTCAACTTTCACTAGCTTAAATTCACCTAAAACCTTTGCAATTTCATGCAGTCAAATGAAATATTTAGCAAAAATAAAAATTATAAATTATTGATGATTTCCTGATGATGTTATGAAATTTGTATCAGATGTTGTGAGTTCAACAATAAAGCATCAATGAGCATGCTTTCTTCCCGCATATGAAATGTGTAAGACATAAAAAAAAACTGCATGAGTAAGTGATGATGAGCGGGCTAATTTTATGCGAATTAAGAGAGTTTCCGTATTTACTTCTTCCATGTGCATGCGATGGCAGTGAAATTATTCGAAAACTTTTTTTTTTATTTTTGGATGAAGAATTTGTTGGGAAATAATTACAAATTTAGAAATTTTTGCGAGGCAAAATTTTAATTTATTTATTCAGCGATGACTTTTGAAATTTTGGAGAAATAGAAGCGACGACTTAATTGAAGTTCATTAAAAATTTAAGCGACGACTTACTTGAATTTGAGAAAAAAAAATAAAGCAACGACTTACCAAATCATGATTGAATGTAAAGCGACGACTTACCAAATTTTGTTTGAATATAAAGCTACGACTTATCAAATCTTGACTGAATATAAAATGACGACTTAACAAATTCTTGTTGAAATAAAGTGACGACTCATTAAAACCTGGTTGAATACAAAGCGACGACTTACTAATTCTTGGTTAAATACAAAGCACCGACTTGCCAAATCTTGGTTGAATGTAAAGCGACGACTTAAAAACTTCGTTGAATATAAAGTGCCGGCTTGTTAAATCTTAGTTTAATATGAAGCGAAGACTTACTAAATCTTAGTTGGTTATAAAGCAACGTCTTACAAAAATTCAGATATAAATTAACATAAATAATTTAAATAATCTAAATTAAGCAAAAAAATCATCCAAATTCATAAATTTCACACAAACAGATTCCATTAGCCACGCATCTCATCGCTTCTTCTTATCCTAATTACCCCAAAAAGCAATGAGAGACTCAAGTAGTTTTGATAGCACTTTGTTATGTCAAATCTCACTGAGTCTAGTGTTAATGAGCATGCACATACATATAGTAATAGATTATCATTATGCTTGTAATCTTTTTGACTTAAAAACGAGTCAATAATCGTGTACAAAATGTCTTAAGAAATAATTCGTAAAAATCGCAATAATAATACTTAAACTACATCACGCATGACATGAATTTTAAGGCTGCTTTTTCTTGTTGAATCATTGAATTCATTTGATGGGCATTTCTGGCGTAGCACGTTATTATTAGTGTTTATAATGACCAGTTGGATGCAGCTTTTCAAATCCAAATTTTACTTTTTTTAAGAGTTGATTGATTCAAGTCGATTTGATTGAATAACAAATGCATAATATGTGAATGACAAAGTCTTAATTGATACTAGAGGGTCCTGTTTTTAATGCGGTGATTTGCGATGGGGTCATTCATAAATGATGTCTAAGTTTTAGAAGACGGTTCGTGTCTGACTCAGTGTTGAAGTACTTAATTATTTATTTTGACTCAAAAGTGGGATTGGAACCCAAATAGCTTCAAGTAGTGTATATAATTTATCCTCACATCAACTCACTTTACCAACAAGCTCTCTTAATCTACAACTTCATTATCAACATAAATACCTTTATAAACTGTTAAGTAATCAATAATGAGCCCCAGTTTTTTGAGTGATCAAAATTCAATTCCAATTATTTTTATGTTAAAGACAAGAAGCCCTTCACTTCCAATTCCAGCCAATTAAAAAATTGGGCAGCACTTTCATCGCGATCGATAATGAATAATTCATATCTTTTTCATGCTGTTATTTAAGATAATTAAAGTACAACAATAATTATGCTGTAAACAATCATTTTAATAAGATTTTGATCGTATTTATCAAAACAATTTAACACTTCATTTGAATGGATTATTTTGCTGTAAATGTTTATTTAAATGGTTGATTATGAAAGCATTGTTTAGTGGAATAGAATTTATTGAGTGTAAGCGAAGGAAATAAATGATTTTTATGAAGAATAATGAGGCAAAAAAATATGTTTCCTCAAACGATCGGTTATTTAATAAAATTTATTGATACTTTTTCTTGAGCCTTATTGTATTGAGTTTGCATTCCGGTTTGGTCACGTGAATGGAATAAGTTGGTCATCATTAAAACGAGCTACAGTTCTCAAACTTACGGGTCTCACTTTCATCAGGATCATTAACCCCACCTCCCCCCCCCCCACTCCCTCTAACCACTTGTTCTTCTGTCGATCTTAATCCCAACACATTGATTGATGCAGTCAAAGTTCAACATGATTCAGTTGCCCTCAAATTTAACTCCACAGCTACTTTTCATTATCATGCAAATTTTCTTCTATTTTAAGCCTTATTTTCATACATAACATAATAATGCAAGATCAAATGACTTATCATCAATCATTCAAGCAGATATGGCAAGTTAGTGTTTATTACACAATCTTGATTGTTTTTATTTTAACTGGAAATAAAGCAAACTGAGGCACATGATGTGGTGTGAAATTGTAAGCTAATTTTTTTGTAAGTGTAAATTGAGTGAATTATAGGAAAATAATGTAATTATGCTTTTGAGAGAAATTATACATTTTTGAATTGATTATTTCCGAATAGGCTGTTGAGGAAAAATTATGCATTGCTGGTGGATTTGACTTATTCTGATATTGCTGTTCACTATTGTGGATTGATCTTTGTCTGCTCTATTTCTGGGGACTGTAAAGGCAACTTTACATCATCGATCAGGATCGCAGTGCCTCATCGCAACGTGTAGGAACACATCACTTGGCTGGAGGGAAGGATTGGGGGTCAGGGGAGGGTCTGACCTCCCGAAACTGAAAAACCTCCAAACTTTTGACTCCTTGTTTTCGCCCATGCTCTAAAATTCCTCATTAAATGACCCAAATGACTCCCAATTTTTTCCAATCATATCAAAAATTCACCTCATTACATAACTGCTTCAATAGGTCAAGCATCTCAATTCCCACATTAATTTACAACAATCTACAAAGCAACACTTTTAGACAACACGATGAAAGGCTTTTTTTCGATGCAGGAAACATTTATCCATGAACAGCAATATTATTACTTAATTACCTGTTTCCAGGACAGAGACAATCTTCTCATACAAATCAAACTCAAAATCACTGCGGAACGTTCACAGTAAGAGAGAATAATGTAATAAGTACTTACATTATGTGCATTTTGCGAAAAATGTGTTAAGTATTAAATGTAAATTATGTAAACGATCTTCATCATCTTATAACAATAATAATAATAATCATCATCATATTTATTAATATGGTTATTGCTGCTTAAGTTAAATTAAAAATAAAGCAGATCTGCATTATTTTTTTTTTCGAAAGTTTAATTAATTTTTTTTATTTTGAGTTCAGCAGTAGAAAAAGTGAATCGCAACATGAAAATGAAATTTTAATTATCATTAAAGATGAAATAAAATTTTAAATATCATCGAATTGGAAGTATAACTCGTTTGAAGAAAATAGTAAGTTAAGAAGATTTTTTGAGTTGGTATGGCTAAGGCGCATTTATGTTATATTTTGTAGCTTAAAAATGCAAAATTAAAATTAATTCTAGAAATCGTAGATAAGAGAAACTTAATTGGTATGTGGTTTTCAATGGTCCTTTAAGACCTAGACCCCCTTCCCTAGCCTAGTATAGAAAGACTTAGTAAGATCAGAAAATAATGAGGAAGTAAGTCAAGCGTTCGGAGATTAGAAGACAGAGAAATGAGCTACAAGGTTAAGAAGCACACAGTTGGTCAACAGAAACAGCAATTATTTCCCAGCATTACTCCCAAACCAAGAGTTCATCAACTCATCACATTCACTTATGCACTCATTCATTTACAACTTCATCTGCACCATAAACCTGTACCAAAATAAAATCCCGTAACAAGAAAAACAAGCTCAACAACATACGTACATAAAAAATATTAAATATTAATAATGTTCAGTTCATGCTCGCCGATGTTATTATGTCAAGAACAAAGAAAGGCTTTTTTGTTGATTGAGATGTTTTTACTGAGACATGGACATGAATAAGCATAGGTGCGGATTAATTTATGATGATACTTGATGATCAAAAAGCATTTGAAAGACACAGACAAATTAAACCAGTCAGTAAGTGAATGTGCATTGCGCGGAAAGACTCGGAAGTAATTTGTAGTAAGTCATCAGTTTATGGACCTTTTGCTGCTGTCAAAATGGAATGAAAAAAAATTAACCTATAAAAAAATATTGCATAATCTCTTTCAATCCATTCAGGTGTTACGTTTAATTGCTCGAATAGATGTAAATCTTGGAAATCCTATCCTCAAAATGCGTACACAGAGAATATAAAGTCATTTAACAAGTTATAGTTATCTAAGTTTGCCTAACATGCAGTTCAATTTTTTTTGCTTTCTTTCCTTCTTGTTGTTATTATTCCGTCCTACTGCCTAGTTCGTTACACTCGATTAAATAATTTCATGATCTTTCAGTACATTCACGTGGATTAGTGGTCAAGTTTGTTTGATATCAATTTTGTTTTTGGCATGTTCATTTTTGTTGGGTGAAATTTGACACAGATAATGAGTTATGTAGTTGATGGAAAGCAAAGAGATGCTTATGATGGAATTTGAATTTATATATCACTGACTGACTTAAACCTTAAATCCAGGGGCTTGGTTAGAGAAGAGCTGGATGAGCTTTTCTTGGATGGAGAGATTCTTAAACGTAGGAACGAGGATGGTAAAACCACGATTCCATTCAGAACTATCCATTGTGCCAATAACACGAGCTTAGTCTTTTGCAGCTGTACTTCTTTTCTATCCCTAATTCTCATTGAGGTTTCAATCTTAAAACCAGTGTCCAGTGTCTTCAATCTCCTCTCCTTTCTCTGGTTACAACCACAGTCTTATTTAATAGATATCAAGTCATATCTAGTCAATCAGTTTCACAGTCAAAACAATAAAGCTCCATAAATATGAATTATAATTTTAATTTCTTACAGCTGAGACAATTCGCAGTTATAAAGAAGGAAAGAAAATATTACATAAAGAAATTTAAATGAACCAAAGAAATTGTCTTACATTCGGTTTTGCTGCAAATAGTATTTATACCTGCACGACATCGGACTAAAAAGAAGAATAAGAAGGAAAAAGCAAAAACCACTCGCAAAACATTGAACTTGTTTAAGGTCTCGCCGGTATTGCGATGAAATCTTCAATGAAAATTATGAGAATTTGCAGACAAGCCTATGAAAGGTCCAAAAAAATGCGGAAGATCATCTTCAATATGAAAAAGTCACAAGCAATCTGTTAATGTCTCACTGAATAATGTGAACAATAGTTCTGCAAGTCATATAAGTGCATAACATATCACGGTGACGGGATTGATGCTATATTACATTAAAAATTTCTATGAAGTAACAATTGCAATTCAAATGATGAAACCTGATGCCTTCTTTACTTAATGCCATTAAATTATAAATATATGGAGACGACTCAGTGAAAGTAATTGCAGTGAACAATTCGCACAAATTCGCAAGAGGCAATAAAAATTAAAAAGTAATGTCGTTTGAGTATGGGAGGATATAGCGCATGTACGTTGAGAGATTGCTGACTTAGGTGAGATTTATTGGGTGTATAGATGTTCTTAAGGATTGATACAGACTAAGGAGGGATTTATATAGACTTACTAGGGACGATAGAGCTTCGATAGGGTTGTTAGAGATTTACCAGACACGATTAAGCCTCATTAAAGTTGATAAAGCTTCACTAGGATCAATAGAAACTCACTAGGGTCAATAGAGCCTCGATAGGGTTGAAAATGACTTACTAGAGTCGATAAATTCTCTTTAGGGTTAAGATTCAGAGAGATTTCAGAGTCAACAAAGATCCAAGACAGTCACCAAACCAAACCAACAACTAACCCACATCTTACTTAAAAGCTAAGCATCAGAAACTGTGCCACAATAACTTATTTTCTTGCAGAAATGAAGGCACACAACTGGAGGAAATACAGAAAGGTTTTTTTTTGGAACGCACGTAATTGTTCAATTGCATAATACCTTAATATCGATTTACAGGCTGAGTGATTGGTCTAAATATTGTAACGGACATCACATGTACAATCACTTACGAGTCATATTGGGAAAGTAGAGGCGATTAAATTTGTTTGGAGTGATTTTGCAGGTTTTTTGAGGTGTTTATCGTGTGTGAAATAATTTTTAATTTTTTTTGTATGTTACAGCCTGCACGAATTTTGTTGTAAGTCATTATGTCGTCCTTTATTAAGAGCATGATAGTCAAATCTTTTGAGAAGAATGTAATTTTTTTTGTGGTCAAATAAATTGAATTTAATTCAATTGGCTGTGGTGTAATTTTCATTCATTAGTATCAATTTTTTTGTGTGTAAGCTGATACGCCTTTTGGGATACAAAAAAAATTAGGAAAGCTAAGGGGCTGTTCACTTATTACGTAACGCGAAAAAATGACTTCTTAGACCCCCCCCCCCCTCGTAACAAATTTGTATGAAAAAAAAATTTCCTTGTTTGAACCGTAACAAAATCTTAGACCCCCCCCCCCCTCCCCCTAAAAGCGTTACGTAATAAGTGAATGGCCCCTAATTAAATTACATGGATAATTGAGCTAGCTTGTTGAACAATGATTTATTGCTGTTTTTTGCAGCTACTCATTGGAATTTATAATATTTTGTGAAGTTTTCACTTTGATTTTTTTTTTTATATTTAATAAAATATTTTAAAATTGTTCTACAAAAATTCAAAAAATTCAAACAAAAATTTTGACATTTTTTTTGCCATCAACCGTCAAGCTAGTTATGTGAAAAATTCACATTAAGGCATACATATACATTTAAAACCTCCCATAATGAAGCAATTAAATACCATTAGAAATTAGATCCGAATTTTTGTGTAATTTGATGATTATTTCCAACCCATTCTCACAGTCATGCAAAATGTTTTCTTTTTACGTCATCGGGGATTTTTTTTTTCTTTTTTGTTTCTTTTGTTCATAAATTTGCCAAATCTGAGATTTAAATAAACAAATAAATGCGAAGTGAAAACAAATTGGGATGATGTTGTGGAGATTTTATCAGGATTTGGCTTTCAGCATGCTTTAGACTAGGATCCGGGAGATAAAGACTATTATTACTGGTGAGTGACCTACTTGTTGCGTTAAAGTGAGCGACATTAGGTCATCAACATCAATCCTACTATGCTACAAACTAGTTGGAATACTACAAAAAATTAAAAAGCTCCCAAAAATCTACAAGTTCTCAAAAAACTGAAGAAAACAACATAAGGGATTACTTTGTGCATTAATCCATGTGTAGCTCATATTTTATATTTTTGCAAAAATTCAAAAATTTCATTAACTACATTTCTACTTCATTTTTTTTTTTTGATTGATTAATCTACGTTCATCATAGCTTTGTTAAATTAGTTTAGTCTTAATAAATAAAATTTAATAAATTACAGTACAATAATAAATAATTAATGGATAGATTTCACTCATTTCTTTGTTGCTGTGTCTGCCTTCTTCGTTGAGCTTTGATTATACTTGACTGATCCTCTAGACCCTGATGCGCGTGCTCTGTCGACGAATTTTGATGTCTCACGTGGAACATTCTTTGATGGCTTCTTAGTCGTGCTTGTAGTGGTCGATCTTGAAGTTCTTGTAACGACTGTTGGTGTTCGAACTCTTGGTGTGGAATCAAAACTGAGTTCCTTTGATGAATGTTCAGCTGAGGAATCTGGAGTCAGACTTCTCACAATATTCGAATGATTTTTAGGCTTTGATGTTGTTAAGCTTTGGATATGAATCCTTGATGGAAGCCGCTTGATATTAGCACTTACAAAAACTGGCACCGCGTTGCTTGAACTCGTGCTTGTGTCTGAAACTTTATTTGATTTTTCATCAACAATCGGCTTTGCGGTGCTTACGCTTTGTCTCTTTCTATTATTATTATTAGATGCTGTTGTTGTTGAGCGTGATCTCAGCGTGGTGCTGCTGCTACTGTATCGTTTAGTTGCTGGCGTCGTTGTGGCTACAGTCGAATAAATCGGAGGCACCGGAGTAATTCTTCTTACTGGTGTAATTTTTGACTTAACCGGTTTCACCATTGACTCACCACCTTCCTGAACGCCATAACTCGAATAGACATTGTTGTTGAAATGGTCAAAGTCATGAAAGCCTATCGGAGATGTTTTGGTGTCAAAATCACTTCCTATGGCATCTGCTGCATGTATAAATGAGGTATGTAGTGGACTAATAATTTGAGATGTAATTTCATTAGAATCATCATAAATTTTTGTTGGTGCTGCAACTGGCTTCCATCCTTCTAACTTCGCATCATAAGGCCTACCACGAACAATTTCTATTTTTTCATCTTTACCAAATAATGTGTGAATTGTAGCTTCAACTTTTAACTCCTCTTGCTTTTCAATTTCACGCAATATTGATTCCTCAAAATGCTTATATCCATTAATTCCAAACTCATGCATCATTTCATCGGAACTGTATGATTCAATTGGATGATTTGGAGCTTTCGTTTTTGACTTGTGTGAAGCTTTTGGGTGCTTGTGATGTGCGGGATGCGGATAGTGAGGGGCAATGTGATTTCCAAGATTTGGTAATGATAAATGTTCCAATAAATTTGGTGGATTGTTGAGGATCTTTTCATAATTATATGGATTCAATGGACTTTCACGCCATCCATCACGGATTGAATCTTCAACATAATCGAATCCATCATTGAATGCTGTGGTCATGTCTTTTACTTTTTCTCTGATACCAGCTGTTATTAGTGGTAATAAGGAGTTACTGAATGCAGCAACATCAAATGGTGACACGAGACTGCCTGGTTGTGCTATTAGACCTGGATGGCCGACAGGAAAGAGACGAGATTCAGCAACTTTAAGACTAGAATTCTTTTTGTGGTGATGATGATTGTTGGATAGATTTATGTTGTCACTTTTCTCTATTGATGGCATTTTAGTGGAAGGTATTAACTCATTTTGGAGATAGTGGAATGTTGTTGTTTCAGCTGTGGTGGTTCCATTTCTAGTAAAATTGATTTATAATTGAAATTTAATAATGGATTGTTTGAGGGCATATTGGGAGGATTTAGTATTTTATCACTTACTTTATTTCAATGCACAATGAACTTCTCAGGAGAATCACAAACAGCAGAAATATTTGACTCTATAGATAATCAATTCAATTAATAATCACTGTCAATTATTTCAAATTTCACAATAAACTTACAATTTTTATCATATTTTTTTAAATATTTAAATAAATCACAAAACTACTTTCATTCAAATTAATCAATATTTTATTTTCTTATCTATTGGATGTTTAGTCTTCAACATTTAATTACTTAATGTGAATTGAAAAATGCATTTGTTGCACTTTTATAATATTTTTACTCTTTCCCAAAAACTCTGAAAATTAGTGAAAAAAGCTCGAGTACAATTAAATTTTCCCATATCAGTGGATAGCAGATAGCGTAAACGCAAAGAAAAATAATTTTCTCTTGATAATGTAAACAGCGGCTTAGAGTTGAGTTGAGCATGTCAGAAAAATAAATAAAATAAAATTGTGATGAGATTGTGTTGGTTAAGCACGCTTATCAATTTATGATTTATGATTTGTGTGAAGTGTAATATCTTCTGTTTTTTTATTATATTATTTTTCAAAATTTCTTCTTTTATTATTTATCTGCTAATGTTATGAGCGCGGTTTTCGCAAAAAAGAAACAAAATAAAAAAATATTTTTAAGAATTAACGAAGTTTTAAGTTCTTGTTAAAATTCATGATATAATTTTAAACTATCAAAATTATAAAAGACAGTTTAAAATTTTAAAACTTAGTTTTTGAAAAAATTTCAAATACAAACTTAAAAATTTTCAAAAAAAGCTATAATTTTTGATTTTTTTTATAAAAATATTTTTTAAAAGCTAAAATCTATTTTTATAAGTCTTAAAAGTAACCTCTAAGTAACCTCAAAACTTACCCGAATGGCTTTTAAGCCAGTGTAATTCTGGGATGGTGCTGGATTTAAATCGAAGCAAGCACAATGCTAGAGTCATTTCAGCTTAACGCCAGAATTTCTATTCGATTAACCTTTAACATATGAGTCAATAAAGTCACTCAATCCTTGCATCCATAAATCGGCTATCCATCGGTTCTTGATTTTCTGATTTTCTGTCAAAACTTTGAGTATGTCCCGATTTCAACTTACTACTCACAATAAATCGAGCTCATAAATTCACTAAGTTCATTATCACTTTTCCTTCAAACTCACATTAAGGCTTTTGTTGTTGCTTTTTCCACACCACTAAGAGCAAAAAAAGCAACAACAGCATAAAATCATTATATGGAGAAAAAATTTGAAAATGAAATTTTTTACTTCATTCATGACTGATTTTTTTTTTCTTCTTTTAATTTTTCTTTTTCTTTCTTAAAAAACAAAGTGAAGGTCGTTGGTAATGAAAATTATGCAAAAAAGGAAAGAAGTTGAATGCTTTTAGTAAGTTAACATTTGTGTTAATCAAAAACATTTTTGTTATTATTATTTAACATTTATTTGTTTTAAGAACGCATTGGAATGGGCTGAGCTGTATGAAAATTAAATTTTTTAAGAAATGGAAAAATCTGGTATTTGATTAATTTAAAAATTATTGCATTTTGAAACGAGACTTAAGATTGAAAGCAGCATTAAAGGTCTAGTGACTTAATTGACAACGTTAAGTACCTGACTCATGTTTAAGGTTACTACATATTAAGTGTATATGACAAGTCTGTGTTAATGACAGTGATTATTAATCTTAGTGTTAAGGAACAAATCAGAATTAAGGACAGTAAAGGTTTTAGTCTAAGTCTAAATCATAACTGAGAAGTCAGTTTAATATAGCTTCACGTGGTATTCTCTACTATCGCTTAATTAATTACTTGTAGACAAGCTATGATCAGGACACACAAATCAATAATTGAATTAAAAGTCATCCTTTCCTAGACTAAGAAGCCTTCTTCTCGAACTAAGCCCATATCATATTTATAGTGCCTTCTTCTCGGACTAAGCCCATTGCATATTTATAGTAAACGAATCTCCAAAACCATTGACATCATATTATTTTGATAACATTTGCAAATAATATTTCACATCCCTGAGAACAGCTTCAAGCAATCATTAAACTGATGATATTCATCACTGTACCTCAGAATTAAGCAATTACATTAAAAACTATCATGAAAATGTGTCAAACCCAGTTAATAATTGCAAGATAAAAAAAAGAAAAAATTTTTATTTCCGATCGATTGAGAAACATTTCATTAAACCAATTGCAGATATCCGACTGAATATTATGCAAGATGAGAAGGCTGAAAAGGCAGTGAAAGATAATTATTATAAATCTCCAATTTTACACCAATAATATTTTGATTGCTCTGCTTTTTGTTCCTCATCGTGCAGCATAAAAGTAAACAAATTGTGGAATTTAAAGAATTGTGTAATCAATTCAATTTTCTCTGTTTTTATTTATTATTAAAAATGTTTTATGTTCGTATTGTGACTATTATTATCAAAAGACAATGACTGCATTCGCTGATTGTTGATCGAATTACTATAAAGACATAAAAGCTTACACGCAATGTCTACAAAATTTTATTTTTAATTCATTTGTTGCATTTACAATTGTTTAATTGCACTCCGATGACATTTAATTAATGTTTATTCAATTCTCATCAATTATGCTTATTGTTTTTACTATTTTGAATTTGAAACTTACTAAAACTAGCTTTGGATGAAAGCTTTTCTCTTTACTTTTCTACTTTATTTATGTTTCTTTGTAGCTTTTTTGTTATTTTGTAAACAGAAGCCGATATCGTGTTCATTGATGCTTTTATGCATAACATAGTCTACATGTCTATAGAATCATATTAGAAAATTATATCACATTACGTATGCACATAGATAAATGTTACGCAAAATAAAGACTGTATGATTTTGAAAGGGAAATGCACTTGATATGAGATATTGCAGCTGTAAGGAAAGTAATCAACAGTTGTTTTCCGAAGATTTAGATTACATTTTCAACTCAATTTCTTCAAATTATAAATCTGATGTGTTGGCCTACAGCGAGTGCAGATTGTGGTTTTTGATTGCCGTTAATTAAGATAATTGAAAAATATGTGTAGCAGCAGAAATTTGCAAGCGGAAGATCAAAAATTGCGCAATAGATGATTGAAGTTAATTGAGTTGTTGATGATGTTGTTTTTGTTAAAAGTTATGTTTCATCGAATTGTTTTTAACATCAGGGGATACTTGCTTACTTTTAGGCTTATGTAACTTTGAGGTTAGGTAGATCCATATGACATCCAGCTAGTAGGGGCTCTGGAACTAGTTTCTAGTGCAGTTCTTGTCACAGTCAAACTAAATTTCTACCTCAGAGTGTTATTTATTAATGGTTTGATCTAGGATACACCAGAAGTAACAATAAGAGCTGGTCTCTAGTGTCATACAGTTCATACAGCTCATTATCAAACAAATATCGACTTCTGATCAAAATTTGATAGCTTTTAAATCTATAAAGGAACTCCAAAACCATCCCAAACTCTATCAAAAATCACGAAAAAGCTCACAGCCATCAAAACCGAATGAAAAAGAAAATCAAAAGAAATATGAGCGAGAGAAGCAGCAACAACAATCAACTCCAACTCTCTTAATGACTCCTTTGAAACTCTTCACGCTCAAGTGACTTCCAAAGCAACATAATGATCATATTTCGTGAGCTACGAGTACATTGTTCGTACTGTCAAGTCACTGTCTCATTTCTCCTTTTCTCCGAGCAGTAAAATGAGCACTCACAGTAAACAAATCTCTGACAATGTCTCTGAAAATGTTCAATTTCTCACAAATCTCTGCATTTCTTGATTATTATAAAAGTCTGTGGCTTGAAGGAATTGTAAATTAAATTATCTTTATACTTCGTACCAACATCATCATTATTACAAGTGGAAATAGCAATAAGCAAGCGATTTGTGTGGCATTTATTTGGTGTAAACAGTTTTGCAAATGATTGATAATTTTGTTTTGTGAATTTGAGGAAAATAAAGAGCATAAAATATGAAATATTTTGAGGTTTTTGCGGTAAGCAAGTGATTAAAAAGTTGCATAATGAACGATTTGTTTTGAAAAATATGAAATTGATGTGCAAAATGGTTTTAAATTGGATAATGTTAAAGTTTCCTGATGAAACATCAAAATTATTGGAACATCAAGTCAACAATTTAAGTTTAGTTGAGGAAATCTTAGAATTTCTGATTTGTGCATAGTTTTAGTGAACAGAAGATGAAGTTTATGCTTGAAAGATTGTGTTTAGAAACATTCTAGACAAATAATCAAAATTTAAGAAGTTTGTTGTTCTACAAACTTTATTCCAGAGCTAGAAGTCGATGAAATTTTGTATAGAGTCGACTCTGCCATATAAAATCGATGAAAATCTCGTTTCGACTTCGAGCTCTACTTTATTCCATAGATTCATTAAACGTCCTGTGAATCTTATTAGGATTGTCTAGTAGACATGAGGATATCTTGAATGAAATAAGTTAGATTTATTCCGATTTATTAAGATCGAACACAAAACTATAAAAAAAACGAGTCTACAACACTTAGACAGCTATCTCTTGGGTACTGGAATGGTTGTTTTACTTCGATTATCAGTTTGATGAATATATTCTGATGAGTTTGATGAGTATCCAATGCTAGCAAACAGAAATTTTTGAGTTCTTATTATTCGAACTTCGAATTTTTGAGGTTATTATTTTTCGAAAATTGAATCCTCGAAGTTCTTATTTTTTAAAAATTCGTTGTGAATTATTATTTTTTGAATAATTTGTAATTTTAGTGAACATTCCTACTAGTTTTTATTATTAAGATAATCACTGTGATGAAATTGCATTCCTTAAATGTTTATCCTTTAAAAACAGCTAGTTTAAAAAAAATAAAAAGTAACGGACTTTCTTATTTTGAAATTTTAAAAAAATACCGCGCGAAAATTTTGAATTTTTTTTTGTTTGTAACGGACTCTGTTCCCTTTGCTAACATTGGATTAGTATATTGCTCAGAACTACATATTTTTTCAAGTTCTATCTTTTAAATTGAACGACTAAGTGCCATAATTAAGGATGGTTCAAACTTATTTCAAAGTTGAGATCAGTTTTCACATCAATTTAAGTTTCAGATCTTTACAGGTTGTTCTGAAACTATCTATAGTCAGAAGAATCTTAAGACTATAATCCTTACAAGATTTAACCATAACTTCATGACCAAACATATTTATTATCAAAAATTGATTGTATTTTAATCATAAATTAATATTTTCATTATTTTGTAGCTTCTAGTAATCTTCATCGAAACAGCAAAGTGTGGAAAATCACACAAGCGAGTTGTCATCCACATCCCAATGAAAGTCAAGCATCTTCATCACACTCACACAGTTTACAAACCAGTTCATCATACACTTCCAGTTGTTGAACCCAGTGAGGATTGGGATAGTCCAGCTGAAGAATATCATTTTGGAAATGGAAGGATGATTGAGTCATTGCTGAGCGATTGGAAGCAACCACAACATACATATCAGCATAGTGTTGAAGACGAGAGAGACCACGAGTATCAAAACTTTGAAAAATATTTGAAGAAAATCTCAAAAACTAAGCAAAAGTTGTTGAATAATAAGCATGCAGGATGGAATCAGAAGCACAACAGTTATAAAGTTGCTCAAGAATATTTATCGAATTTAAAAAGTCATCCACAGCCAGAATTCGATGACTATGACGACAGATATGCTCCATATGATGACGAGGAAGATTAAAGAAGAAAGCGAAAGTAAATTTTATTTTAAAGTCAATGTTAATTATTTTAATATAGAGTTGAGGGGGAAACTATGATTTAATTATTAATATTATTATAATTTTTAAAATATCAGTACAATAATTTAATCTGAAAATGAAAGTGGAAAAAATTATAATTTTTTTGTTATAAATTTGTTATTATTAGGGTTTCTGAAGCCGTTAACGGAAACGGAAAAACGGCTGTTTTTCAGAGAAAAATAAAAACGTAAAACGGCTGTTTTTTTCTAGCCGTTTTTTCCGTTTTTCTTTTCTAGCTCGTAAAAATTTTAGGTTCAGAATAAAATAATATTAACTCCAATAATTCTTTCATACTCATTAAATTTAAGTTGTTAAGTTTTGTAACGACTATTGATGTTTAAATATTTTTAAAGTTTGAAGTATCCTGTTTTTTCGTTATAAGCTAGTAGCTTAGAAGAATAAAAAAAGTGATTTTTTGGCTCACTAGTAGCTTAGGAACGAGTAGAAGCTTAGTAAAGAAATTAAACTTAAATGAAAATTTTGAATTTTTTAACTTAATTAAAGAAATTTTGCTATCTTCTCGATTTTATTTCATTGATAATGTCATAAGGCATTGAGACTGATACTTAAAAAGTTGAAAAAGATTAATTAAGCTTATTTTTGGTAGTACCTTAGTAAAGATTACAAAAAAATTTCAAGTTCAAAAAAACTTTACTAAGCTGGTAGCTTAGTAACGAGTAGTAGCTTATAACGAAAAAAACAGAGTGTGAATAAAAGTTTTTTTAGACACAATACACTGTAATAAGTTCGTTTTTTTGACAAAAATTACAGTATGTGACTAAAACCATGCATAAAACACAATTTCGGTACAATTAAAAAAACGGACCCGTTAACGGCCGTTTTTTGGAATAAAACGGAAACGGCCGTTTTTTAAAAATGCCGTTTTTCAGAAACCCTAGTTATTATTTATTATTATTTTTATTCGCAAAGAATTGACACCACAAGCAATTTATCTCAATTGCAGGAAGAGATTAGAGATGGAAACTTTATTAATTCAATAATAACACGTCTTGTTACTTTGATTATCACGTACTGTTCTTGTAAATACTTATTACAATATTAATAAAATTGTGAAATTAAAGATTTTTGTTGTTTAATGTTTTGAGAAGCGCTGTAAGGCACGTGTTTAAAGAAATTGAATTTTCTATTGACTTAGATTTATGTTTTATTGCGTTATAAGTGAAATATATGATTGGATGGTTGTGGCTGTATATTATTGAGAGTTTAAACTTATCAAAACAGCAATACTTAGCAGCCATGATCTTCTTAACTGTAGAATATTCATACAAAAGCATGATATTAAGAATTCTCTAGGGGCCGTTCACTTATGACGTCCAACATTTAAGGGGGGTGAAGAAATGTCTAAAAATTTGTAACAGGGGAGGTAGGGGGGTCAGCAACTTTATGACATCAATTTTTTGTGAAAAAATTATAAGGTGCGCGACATTCGTTTAACCGCACCATAATTTCTTCAATTTTCACTTTTATAAACACTTTAAGGATGGCAACTATTTATTATTTTTAAAGCTAGTTCCAAGTATGTTTTAAATTAGTAAAGATAAGTTAGCTAAAGGTTGTGCCTTATTAAATTAATTAATTTTTATATAAATTACAACAACAAAGTGCGAAGTTCGTTTAGCCGCACTTTGAAAATATTAAAATTTTGGGCTGTAAACGTTATTTATTGTACTGATTCTATTTTTAAAGTATTTAAGCAACAAAAATCTATGTTTGCAGACAGTTCCAGAATTTTCCATTAAGTTTTTCACGAGATTTTCCTTCATTTATTTTGTCTTACTGAAAATATCTTCAAAATTAATTTTTGCTGTTATTTTTCATGAAACTGTAATTCTTTTGTCTTAATTAGGTAGAAAATGGTTTATATTATTGATTTAATGACAGAACTCTTCACTTTTAATTGATTTTAGGACCAAAATTTGAGAAAAATTTGTTTGAGGTGAAAATTTTTCACCACTTTGTTGCAATCATTTACAGTTTTTGTGAAAACTGTACATATCATATGAAATTTGAATAGCCTATCGTATTTATCATATTAAACTTGACATAAAACAGAAAACTGCATAGTTCTACGACTAATAGAACTTGAAAATTTTATGAAAGATTTAGGTTGTGGTGAAAAATTTCCACATAGAAAAAATAAATTTAAAAAAAACCTGTATTAAGCTATTGCTTCATTTCAATAAAGTTAAAACAGTGTTTCCTTAAGAAGAAAAATTAAAAATGATCATTAAAACATTAATGAATAAAGTTTTTTTTAAATTTATTTTTTCTATGTGGAAATTTTTCACCACAACCTAAATCTTTCATAAAATTTTCAAGTTCTATTAGTCGTAGAACTATGCAGTTTTCTGTTTTATGTCAAGTTTAATATGATAAATACAATAGGCTATTCAAATTTCATATGATATGTACAGTTTTCACAAAAACTGTAAATGATTGCAACAAAGTGGTGAAAAATTTTCACCTCAAACAAATTTTTCTCAAATTTTGGTCCTAAAATCAATTAAAAGTGAAGAGTTCTGTCATTAAATCAATAATATAAACCATTTTCTACCTAATTAAGACAAAAGAATTACAGTTTCATGAAAAATAACAGCAAAAATTAATTTTGAAGATATTTTCAGTAAGACAAAATAAATAAAGGAAAATCTCGTGAAAAACTTAATGGAAAATTCTGGAACTGTCTGCAAACATAGATTTTTGTTGCTTAAATACTTTAAAAATAGAATCAGTACAATAAATAACGTTTACAGCCCAAAATTTTAATATTTTCAAAGTGCGGCTAAACGAACTTCGCACTTTGTTGTTGTAATTTATATAAAAATTAATTAATTTAATAAGGCACAACCTTTAGCTGACTTATCTTTACTAATTTAAAACATACTTGGAACTAGCTTTAAAAATAATAAATAGTTGCCATCCTTAAAGTGTTTATAAAAGTGAAAACTGAAGAACTTATGGTGCGGTTAAACGAACGTCGCGCACCTTATTATTTTGTGTCTATGATTGTACGTCACAACGGAGGGGGGGGGGGGGTGTTTATTGACATCTGTGACAGTTTTGGGACAGAGAGGGCGATTTTAAAAATTTTATTTTTTGATACACGTTATAAGTGCACCGCCCCCGAGTATTTTTTCAATTTAAATCAAATTGGCAATCAATAATTCGACACAACTTCAAAAATAGACCGAAAATAATCCAAACAACAATTTACCCAAATAGTCAATAACCAACCTCGTTAACACATTTACTTAACTAATCATCAAATAATAAAGATAACATTAGTTTTCAAACCGCCTCTTAACAGATGCTCAAACAAGTGTTTAGAAAATAAAAGTTGTTTTTATTATCATAATCGCTTCCATTAGCTCCATTAAAATTCAAATCATCAAACTGGCTTGATGCGTACATCACTTTTCGGCTTTTTTGATAATTTATGATAATTATCACCATTTAAAATGTCTAACAGATCTCATTTATGTTGTTTCTTCTTACATATTTGATGCTTTGTTGTTGTTTGATGTTGCTGGTTACAGAATCAAAATTACAAATGAATTTCCCAACAGTTTCACTTTCTTTGATTTAATAAAATCACATTTATGCATAACAATTAAATTAAGCATAGTCAACTAGTAATAGTAATGTAAAGGGCATGAATCTTAATTGACCGTGAATTTTCATTACTTTGCTTGATGCTCATGCTTATGGATGAGTCGTGGTGATTGAAAGCAGGGTTGGAATGATGGGAACTTAACTTTTTCGGATGAAGAATCTTGAAACAATCTTTTATTGTGAGTATTGTCTCTTTAGATTAGCCGTAACTCTCTGGAATGACTGAAAGACTAGAAAATGACAGAAATTGAACAAATGCTTCCTAAAAAGAAGAATATAAAGACTCCAACTCTGCAATATAATCTTATAAATTTCAACATAATTAAATAACCATAATATAAACAAAAAGTAAAGTATCCAGCCATCCAACTGTACGCAAAGTGAACTTTAAATTAAAAAAATTATTTTATTGTCCTTTTCTTTTTTGTAATAAATTTTTGGTCTGCTGCTTTCTACTATAATTAATATCAGCTAAAAGTTTCGACTTATCAGCAATATTTTTATTAAACTTCTTCGACATAAGTCCGGAATAGATGTCGTCTTGCTTGTTCAGCTCTGTATTTTTCGGCAATGTACTGTAATAAGCTGGATTAAGAGATGTTGGATCAACATTCAAAAATTGTTGATGAACATTCGTCGATTCAGCATCAGCATTCGATGTTCCATAAACCTGAAATTTATTCGATTCATCGTGCGGATTCCGTTGTGATGGCCTAATTGGACGTTTGCTCGATTTACGTGTGGGAAAATTTGCGTAGATCTTGTCAGAATTTGAGGAATCATAGTCTTGATTATAATTGTGATTTCTATGTTTCTTCTTCTCCTTTTTGCTGCTCAGTGCTGCTGCTTTATTTGCTTTATGCTTTTTATATAAATCTTCTTCATAATTTGATTCTTGTTCCTCATCTTCAACCTGCTCATCATACTCTTGTGTATTTACATTTTGTTCATCGTCATCATCATCCGGCTGATATTGCTGCTGTAATCGTCGTCGCTTTTCAATAGCTTTCCTTTGCTGTTCTTGACGCCACTTTACAAAATCCTCTTCACTGATTTTAAACTCATTTTGACGATTTTTTGCAGTTTTCAGCAGTGGTTGTGGATATCCTCCGTTAATCAATCCAATATTTGGGTCATTACGTGCATGCAAATATGAAATGGAATGTTCAGGAATCTCAGAGTGAACGACCTTTGGATGAAATACGTGAACATATTTGGTCTTTACATGTTTATGTTTATGAATTATATCCGGCACATGTATTTTTAGATGAACGCTAAAAAGAGATGATGAAGAAGAGATTAAATTAGTTAAATGTAGGTGAAATTGGATTGGATTTAAGGTGCTGTGGATGGATTTGTGATGAATGAAGCGCATATTTTTTGACTAGAATTTGATGACTTAAGAGGGTCAACTGTCGTTAAGCCAAACGACAGTTTCTATATTTTATAAATTCATTAAAACAATTCATGAATTTCATTTACATTGTTAGCTTAATAATTTCATACCGAATAATGCCACCGTATTATTTTACATCATTTTATTTGTTATGTTATAAGCTTTAATTTGGTATATAATTGAAAGCATTTGGGCAATATGTTTACAAGAAACATATTGATTTATGAGACGCTTCACGTCAAATTTATTCTTTATTTGTAACGGTTTTTTGAGATTTAAATACTAAAACCGTACAAATTCCTTTTTTGAACGGAATGCGTTCAACATTTTTGAATTAGTTCAAATTAATACGTCGCGGGGAGAAGTCGCATATTCGGACAAATTTGTTGAAAATTTTTACCATCTTTTCCCATCTTTTCCCATCATTTTTTCATCACTATTTTAATTAAATAAAGAAGTCGATTAGCAAGTAATCGCATTGTGAAATATTAATAAACGAAAAGTGGATTTTTAGATACAATTTGAACGTTACTTTTCACTCGTCGACATCTTTTCAACAAATTTCTACACGTGAAAATCTTTTCATTTAATTTTCACACGTGAAAATAAGTTTCGGCGCGAATAAGTGTTAAATAAATAACCTCAGTGGCTAGTTAAAGACATAAATAGTCAAACAGTGCAATTTAGAATTGAATAAATACTGGAAATTCAAAATTTCATAAAATTTCATATTAAATTTAAAAAGAGGTTAAAAAGTGTTGTGGAAAGTAGAATTTTGAGAGCCAGACGATTATTAAAGTGAACGAGAAGAAGCTCCATACGCATTTGAAGTCTTAAACAGAAAGCAGAGAATCTTCAGTTCCAGTTATCGATAGTAAGTCGATGCATTAAGTAATTAGTTTGCTCTTTTCTTTCTTTTCATCATTTAGCATTTTATTTGCGCAAGGCAGATACAGTATTTATCTGTGCAAGTCAGATATATACAACAAGAATTGCTAAAAGCAATCCAGTGTGCATTACACATTACATCCAGTAAACATCCAGCAAAGCAAATCAATTGTTTGAGGAATAACCTTAAAGTCGTCAGCAACTAGGCGCATAAGTCGTTATAGAACGCAAATCAGTTTCTTCAACAAAAGGATAAAGTTTGTGGATTTATTGGATACAATTAAGCACATTTTTTGGATATCAAACTGAATTGTTCGCAAGGAACAATAATTCAATTACTAAATAATCATCAAGTGGTTATCAAGTAAAGCAGTAATCAAGTCGTTATCAAGTAACGCAGTAATCAAGTCGTTATCAAGTAACGCAGTAATCAAGTCGTTATCAAGTAACGCAAGTATCAAGTAATCTAAAGACAATTAAATAGATTGAATAAAACAATGAGTGCTGAAAGTCATGGAAGTTTAGCTGAATTCTTCAAAAGAAATCCAAAAGCGAAGGAAACGTATCGAATTAAGAATCCTTCCAGCAAGTCAATTAACAATTATGTATTTGCATGTGATTTAGTCAGAGACGACGTCAGGTGCTCAATTGGAAATAGTTGTGAATGGTTTACAGCAAATGAAGAGGAACGAAAGGATGAAGTTCTTCAGAAAATGGTCTTATGCATTTCGTGTGATAACATTTATCACTTGCGATGTACAGGCACTGATTTCACATCAATAGCGGAGACTCAACTACCATGGACATGCAGTACATGCAGAACCAACTCGTTAAACAGCGCAGCGCAGAATTTAGTAATTTCTGGAAAGCATCTATTATCATTTGATGAACGTATCAAATACTTCATCAAAGAAACTAGTTCTAGTTCTGAATCAGAAACAGAGGACAATAAGATTGATGGTTCTGTTCACGTAGATAAGAAAGGAAATATAATTCCAAAGGAGTTCTTGACAGAACTTAGCAAAATGCGAGAAGAAAACAAAAAGCTGCAACAACAATTGATGGAAAATACAAAATTGATGACTCAAATATTGGCAAATCAGTCCAGCATTAATGGAATTGAAGAGAAGCATGAAGTAAAGTCATCAATTGCAGTCAGCCCGTTAATAGGTTTGCAAGAAACCTCTTACACGGACGCAATATTGACTGCAAATGCAACGTCTACTCGAATCAATGAAGAGTTGCAACAATCGCAAGCAGCTATTAATTTAATGATCGGAAACAACGATGAAAATGCTGACACACCAATGAAGTCAGATGAAAAGGAAGTAAAGAAAGCTGAGTCAACAGATAATATGGTTGATAATACATTACGTCATCTCAGCAAATTAACAATTAGTGAATTGAGACGCAATCTTCCCAAGATAGAGAAGTTTGATGGAAGTCCAGAGAAATGGCTGACTTTTCAACGAGCTGTTGAAAGGAATTGGAAAGAAGGTGAATTCACTAGCAACGAAATGCGAAATCAAATACGAAACGCATTGACAGGCTTGGCATTAGCGAGGATTGATTCACTTTTCCCATTATTATCAGCGGAAAAGATTATGTTGGCATTAAAGGAAAGTTTTGGAAATTCCAATATTGTAGTTGAAAGTGCTAAATTAAAGTTGATGAATGCAAAACTTTCAAAGCCACTCACGCATTCTTCGTGTGTGGAAGTAACCACATATATAGCAAGTTATATGGCAGCATGTTCTTATGCTGGAATTTTAATTACGGACTCTAGTATTTCATCAAAAATACATAGTCAATTGGAACCGTACCATCAGCAAATGTATTATGATTTCTATTTTAAGAAATTACCAAACGCAACAACAAGAATGGAGAGATTGGATATACAGTTCGAGTTTTTAAATAGTCTGTCGAAAACGCTACCGTTGGGAAGTTTTAAACCTACGGAGGAAAACAAAGTGAAGAATAAAGGCAGCAATTATCAAGTCTTTACAACATCCACTACCAATAATGCACCTAAATATCCATCAACAAATTATAACGACAGTTATAAATATGAGATAAAGGACAAAGAGTCAGCTCGATATTTAGGATATGATTTGGAGAAGGTAAAGCAAATACCTAAACGTTGCGAAATTTGTTCAAAAACAAATCATTACTCGGTCGAGTGCAAGGCTTACCGAGACATGAAGATGGATGCAAAATATAATGCAGTAAAGTCAAAGAATATTTGCATCAACTGTTTACTTACAACGAGTCACCAAGCAAAGGATTGTGATATCAAGAATAGCTGTGGATTCAAAGTTGACAAAAATACGAGATGTACAGGAAAACATCATGTAACACTTCATCGTGGATATGGATCAAATTATCCAAATTATAACAAGTCCTACAAAAGGCAGAACAGGAGGTCCAACACGAATAGCAATGCTGCAAGGGCAAATGCGAAAGTGAATGATCACGAACGAAATCAAGAAAATCAACAAGCTGAAAATAATGCACCACCAGCTGCACAAGCACAAACGATAGTAGCAGTTGCTATATCAAATGAAGGTCCATTACAGCAACAAGTTGTCAAAGGATATCCAATTCAACCACCGATAAATTGTGATGATGAGAGCAAGCCTTATCAAACTTTTATTACATCACCAATTGCTTACCAAAATGATGAAAGTTCGCATAGAACTATTAAATTGTTCAAGACAAATTTTTATGGAAAATCCTTACATGCTTTAGGATATGCTATGGGTGATTCAGCAGCGGAAATCTCTTTAGTAAAGAAGAGTTTAATTGATGATATCGGAATAGTTGGAGATAAATGTGCGATTGAATTGCAATGGACGGATGCAAATATTAAAATCGTGGATGCTTGGAAAGTGAAACTGAAAATATCAGGCACAAACAAGAAGGAAGTAAATGAAATTGATGAATGTTATGCAGTGCATGACTTAAATCTTCCACCACGTACACTAAATGTTGAAGCTTTAAAGAAGCAGTTCCCGTACTTAAAGAAAATTCCATTTGAGTCGTATAAAGAAGCGATACCTTCAATATTGCTAGGATCAACACATGCTTATCTATTTGAAGCAATTGAACCGGTTATTGAGGATGGAAATAATAAACCTGTTGCTATGAAGTGCAAGTTAGGTTACACAATATATGGAGGCGCGATCGAGAAGTTTCAATCATCGTATTCCTTAAATTCTAATCAAGTCAAAGGTGTAGCTAGTACAAATGACATTGGAGAGTCTAATGATGAGTTGGAAAGGATCTATTCATTTTCTTGTTCCATAGAGAATCTAGGAATAAAACCTCATCATAAACACTACACAAAAAATGAAAAAGAAGCAATTAAATTGCTCGAGAATGAAATGAAAATTCTCCCAAATGGATCAGTGGAAGTTCCTTTAGTCTGGAACTTAGAGGATGGAAATATACCCTCATTACCTGACAATTGTCCAATGGCCTATAAGAGACAAATTTCTACGGAGAATAGTTTAAAGAAAACTCCTGAGTTACTTCAAGCATATAACAATAATTTTGAGGAACTTATTAAAGAAAATTATGTGAGACCTGCAACAGAACGCGATATGAATTATGAATGGCCAAATAAGTGGTACATACCAATGTCTTTAGTCGTCAATAGGAACAAAGAACCTGTCAAGATGAGAAATGTCTACGACGCATCAGCACGATATAAAGGATCATCATTAAATGATAAGTTACTAATGGGACCTAACTTATTAGTAGATATGTTACAACCATTAATGAGAATGAGGATGTACAAATATGCATTCACAGCAGATGTCAAAAGCATGTTCCATAGAATCTTCATTTGTGAGAGAGATCAACAATGTCAAAGGATTTTATGGCGACGAAACTTGAGTGAACAAATGCAAGTTTACATTCAACAAGTAATGTTATTTGGACCTAAAAGCAGTCCATTTGTATCTCAGTTCGTGAAGAACAAAACAGCAT